AATCTCTCACATCACTGCCACTACCACACATACATTTAAGTCTTGGAAATTCTGGTTACATGTTTTTTTTGGTGGTGGTGGTGTTTGAGCAAAACCACAGATCAGCCCATTTCCTCATTTCCTTGATTCTCATGAGTTTGTGTTCCCACTCTAAGGAAACAAATGAAGGGGCTGGTACTGGTTCTGTAGGGGGAGTGGGTGTTGCAGACAGGCCCAGCTGGAGAGGAGCAGGTGGGACCTTGAGGCAGGGCAGGAAGAGACATGTAACTCCCACTCTGGTGTGCCTCATTCCATGTTCCAGCTGTAGGTAGCACACTGAGTATTACGTAAGCAGCCATTAGTTTAGTTTTATAAAAGTCATTTTTTCACATAGCTCTGGAGTCCATGTGTGTGCAGATGCCTTCTTTTAGTGAAGCCGACTCTTGAAAAAAACATGGGTCTGGGCTTTTTAATCAAATAGACAAACTTCATTTAACTAAAAGGGAATAGGCTCAGTCCAAGTCCTCATTCTAAAGGCCAGGAAACCTGTATCATGAGAAATGAACATTCCACTAAAAATGGAAACAAGCCCATTTTACATGCATTTCCAATATCTCAAGGTTGAATAGTATTTGGAAATGCTGGTAAGGTAGCAGCCAAGACTTCTCTAGCTGTCTCCCTACCCCAGCCCTACCTGACTGCATCCTCCACCTATAACCACTGCTCCCACTGAAAAATAAAATAACCTCAAATTATCTGTACTGGCAGAATGAGTAAACAGAAACTCATCTGAGAACATATTATAAAACCTGGCGAGCAACTTAAGAACAGAGACCACCCGTCCCTAATATATCCCATGGTGCAATAGGAAATATTTTGGTAATGATGTGAAGGAATTAATTGCTGCTCTTATCAGGATCCCCTGAATTGGGTAAATGCTTTGAAAATGTGGACCCCTGAAATGAACATGTGGCGTGGTAAAATTGGAAACCTTCCAGGAACTAGAGCTTTATTTTGATATTAAAAGACTCTGGGCAGGTAGGGATCATGTTGGAATAGCTGTTCATGGGCATTCACACTGGGTGTTACTTTAGCAGCCATTAGTTTAGTCCTTTTACATGCTGCAGCATCATCAGGAAGTGTCACTGTCACATCTGCAGACACGCATGTCAGGCCTACCATGGCACCAGCCTCTAAAGAAAGGTGTTAGCAGTGAATCCTAAGAGCAGGCATGCCCCAGTTCTTCTGTTTGCAGTTTGCCCTGTCATCAGATCAGGGATGAGAAGACCTTCCTAAATCCAACTATGACTTAGAGAGTGATATTAGATGCAGCTTGGCAGGGGAACACACAGAATAGTTCAGAGAAGGATATAATAAAATTGTTGTGGTTCGGGCAAATATCCTCATTCCTCTGGCAGGGAACCCATACGGGAAACATTTTGTTGTTGTTTCAAGCAAGTCTTAATAGCAGGCGACTTACTCCCCAGCAACACCCAACATTTGCACCTCATCTAAGCTGTGGGAGAGGCGGGGGTGATGGTGCTGTTGTTGTTGGCTTGAAACAGTTTTTTCCTAATGATATTTTTAAAAAACTTGTACCTCTGGATCAGCACTTGTAGCTATATGCCTGCATGGTAAAGGCCCCCACATCTCAGGAGTTGCTTTGCCACTGCTAAAGTTGCTTGAACCTGAAGCCTAGAAAAGCCTTTTCTCTATTGGATGATATTAGCACATTACAACTGTCTTCCTTGTTGAAAGGTAAGGACCAGGAGAGAAAGTGCTTCTGCCTCCTAATGCCACGTCATACTCAAGACCCAGGTAATATGGATACTCAAAGCCAGTCTTTTAACAGTTGAAGAAGCCAAATATTCATAAGATGCTTCCTTTTATACTATTTTTCTCTCTTTAGTTTAAAGAGAATCTACTTTGTGCAAATTTATTACTCTAAATATAGAACTGCACTACACATGAGGCTCTGTCTTGAAATCATCTTTTTTAATGGGGCACTAGAAGGGAGAGACCTTGCAATTACTGTAATTGAGCTCATAGTATCAATGAAATCCTGAAATGGCACAATACTATATTTCATTGGAAAGGCAAGCTAATATTATTTTAAAATGGGGAAATAGAAACATCTAGATTTTTGAAAATTTTAGAGAAGGTCATTGTGTCTCAAGATTGTCATCCCAGGACTTGGATTTAGTAAGTACTTGGCCAGTGTGAGGGTAAGGAAGTGCTTAGTGGTAAAAGATCCTTGTTTCCTTGCCAGTGTCATCTTTCCATTCCATTGCTGAGTTAATTGACACTTGCTGGTGGCAAGTGTTTGATCGACACGCTCAAAGGGGCCCTTGAGGAACCCTAAAATGCTGTGGTCGGTTATCCTCTCACTGGAGGCTAGGTCAGGTTTCGTCCTTCATTTATGCAGGAAATGTTTTCCTGAGTGTCTGCATTGTGTGCCAGGCTCTGGCCCAGCTCACAAGGTTGGTTTGTGGCAAGATATTTTTTGCATTGGGTCTGGAGAAGAGGAGTCCAGGCTCTGTGAAATTTCAGGCTCCCAGAGCCCTTCCCACCTATCCATCTCCATTCTCTAGTGGCCTCCCTTTTATTTGAAATGCGTCTATGTTACACTTAGAGTTTGTTAAGCTATGCACAGATATTTGTTCTCCAAGTAAGAGTTTAATGTGGTAAGAGCCTGGGTATATTTTTCTTTTCCACAGTTGAGGGTCTCTTTCACGGGCCGCCAGAGAATCCCCAAGTTTACGAACCCATAGTATTTTCCCCTTTCCCTCGTAATTAATATTAAACACAAAGTTAGGTCAAAAATTGTGACATAAAATGTTAGCGGTTATTCTGTGGCTCCTGCTCTCTCCTCTTCCCACTTCTCAGCTTCTCAATTTTTTTTCTAAGGTCAAGAATAGGTTGAACTTCTTTTTCCTTGTAAAGGAATAGATGGTAAACTTTCCAGGCCTGGGCTTATTTCAGATGTAAAAGAATCTCAGGGGCTCCTGTTACAGAGTGAAGTGAGGAGAAGACGGCTGAAGCCTGCCTTTCCTTTTGTTTCTTTTGTTATGATCTGGTTGTTAAGGGTAGAGTGGGGTGAAAAATGGGGCAAGAGTCCATTGAGCCCTTGAGTTGATAACCTTGGCTTTTGGGAGGCTTGGGTGTGTACTGCAGTGACTTTCCTGGAATTCCCAACACAAACTGCTACCCAAACCAACCCCTTTATAACCTTTAAAGCAAACGTTCATTTTGGATGAAAAAAGAAGCTGCTGGTCTCAACTGTTTCCCAGGGCTCAGCCTCCCTGAGTTCTCTGGCATGTCAGCACTTGTCTTCTGTTTTTTCCATTGTACTCCTCCCAGCTCAGCACAGAGGCCCCGTCTCTCACAGGATCAGGGTATGTGACCCTGGAGCCCAGACAGCCTTGCACATAAATCTTCTGGTCCACCTGCAGATCGTCTGTCAGCAGTTGCCCTGCTTCTCTGTTGGATGGGCTATTCTCTCACATCTGTCAGACTACCCTGAAGTCTCCATGGGCCAGTGGAAATTCAGACTGACCCTATTGCATCTCCAGGTCTTCATCTGTCTTATCCTGCATCGTTGCCTGCCATGCCCAGGCTCTGTCCTACTGAGTAATTTTATGAGGCCCAAACTAGTGGTGATGAGCAGTCTTATCATGACAGTGGCCAGTGTCCATCAGTATACCTTTCTGAACAGGTGCTCTTTTGGAGGCAAGTATGGACTGAATGTTTGTGTCTTCCCCAAAGTCATATGCTGAAGTCCTAACCCCCAATGAGCTGCCCAAGACTGTAATTACGTATCCCGTATGAACCAGTGCTTTAGAAGAGTCACTGACAGCTGTAGTAAGGCCATAACCTACTGCTGACACATCCACCCTGACTGTGTTGACTACTCATCCTTATCCAAGTACAGAGAATGTTCTTTGGGTTTTCCGAGTACCTAGGTATTTGGAGGTGGGGCCTTTGGGAGGCTTTTTGGGTTAGATGAGGTGATCAGGGTAGAATCTCCATGATGGGATTTAAGCTGTTGTAAGAAGAGACAGAAACACTGGAGTACTCTGTATAAGAAGAGGAAGAGGCCGGGTGTGGTGGCTCAAGCCTGTAATCCCAGCACATTGGGAGGCTGAAGCGGGTGGATCACAAGGTCAGGAGATCAAAACCATCCTGACCAACATGGTGAAATCCTGTCTCTACTAAAACACAAAAAAACTAGCCGGGCATGGTGGTGTGTGCTTGTAGTCCCAGCTACTTGGGAGGCTGAGGCAGGGGAATGGCTTGAACTTGGGAGGCAGAGGTTGAAGTGAGCCAAGATTGCGCCACTGCACTCTGGCCTGGCAACAGAGCGATACCACTTCTCAAAAAAAAAAAAAAAAAAAAAAAAAAAGGAGAAGAGACAGACACTCTGTTTGCCATGTGTGAATACAAGAAGGTATTCTGCAAGCTAGGAAGGAGGGCCCTCACCACATACTGAATCTGCTGGCATCTTGATCTTGGACTTCCCACTTTACAGAACTATGAGAAATAAATATTTGTTGTTTAAGCGACTCTATCATATTTGTAGAGTAACTGGAGCTAAGACAGCAAGACTTGCTTTAGAGCAGCTGATATTACCTAGGAGGCAGGTTAAGATAGGGAACTAGACAGGCCTGAAGTTTCTGATTGGCTTGAACCAGATATGAGTAATAGTCATAGATTATCTGCCTTTGTCTAGACTCAGAGGAAGATTTTTCCAGTGTGGCCAATAATGGTATATAGTGTGGGGGCATGTGGCATTAACATCTTTAAGTCTCTTCTACGTGCTAAGCAACAAATAAAAATGCATAGTGCAGTGGTTCAAGAGGATGAATTTGATCTAATTATTCTGTTTATTAGCTGGGTGACCTTGGGCAAGTTAATCCATTGGAATCATCCTTTAAAAATAGCATAGGGTGATTACCAAGGGCTGCTGTGAAGATTAAAAGGCATCAGGTAAAGTCACATGTCACACAGTGCCCTAAACATAGTAATCAATTAGTTCTAATTATTGTCTTGTTATTGGTTTGCTGGGAAAAACGGAGTCTTCAAATGAGGAAAAAAACAAGAACAGTGTGAAGCAGAAAGTGAGTGGAACAAACGGTGAGTCCTAGGAAATTTTGGAAAAGAAGGACTGAGAAGGCTTCAAAGAGGTTGAAATTGGTCTGGAACCAGAAGGAATTAGTAGAATTTAGATAATTTGATCTGGGAGAGTTCACATTTTTCTTCAATTTGAGGGAGGCTGTTAGCAGAAAGAGAATTGAGCTAGGGATTAGAAGAAAACGTCTTTTTGTTTTCTACCTTTACCCAGCGTGAGCTTGGGCAAACCACTGAGCCTTGATTTCCTTGATTGTAAAACTGGGACAGAGAGACTATCTGCTCCGCCTAGTTTTCAGGGTTGTTATAAGGCACAAATGAGACAATTCAGGTAAAAATGCTTTGAAAATGGTAAAATATAACAACACAAGAGTAAGGTCATTATTAGATTCTTAAAAGAAGATCCCAGAAAAAGTCTGAGCTGCCCAAGACTATAATTACCTATACTGTATGGCCCAGTGCTTTAGAAGAGTCACTGACAGCTGTAGTAAGGTCATAACCTACCGCTGACACATCCACCCTGACTGTGTTGACTACTCACCTTATCCAAGTACAGAGAATGTTCTTTGGATTCTCCATTCTGAGTACCTAGCCAGTTGTTAAGTTCCTCAAACAATAATCACCACCACTACAATAATAGTAAACAGCCACTACTGTTTATTTGGCACTTATAATACATTAGACACTCTGCTAAATACTTTACAAACTTTATCCCACTTAGTTTGCAAATAACATCACAAAGCAGCTATTTATTATTGAATCCAATTTACAGATGATTAAGTTGAGGCTTAGAGAAATAACTTGCCTTGTCTCCTTTAGCTAGTAAATGACAGAGCTGAATTTAACTGAAACTTCTCTTGGACTCCAGCCCTCTGTGCCATTTTGCTTTTAATCTAAGAAAAAATGTTTTCCCCCACGAGACCTTGTGCTGGATTTCCCATTTAGAATTAACCACGTGGATGAATTAAATGAATCAAGTGGTTAGTTAACATTCAGCTTATTACTTACAGATTTATCCCTTTCTTTCTAGCTCTGTTGTTAGACAATTTAGACCCCACAGTATTTCCCCAGTTATGACTACATTTGTAGGCCAGAGACTGTCCACTGTGACAGTAAGAATAATCCCTTGTATTTGTCCTAGTCTTAGTATATTCACTGTGTTTCATTTGAACACCACAATAAGTGCTTTAAGGGATATTATTTCTGTTTTACTCATGAGGAACTGATGCTAAGGGAAGTCAAGGAATTTGCCCAAATTCCCAGCTAATAGATGAGAGCGCTCTATGTTTGTCTGAACCATTACGACTATTACTAATTGACAGAATAGCAGAGATTTGGAGCGTTTCTAATATCCTGTGTATGATGTACAACATGAAACAATAAGAATATTTTCTATGAAGAACTTTGGAATGCAGTGATGTGATGTTCAGAGTCATTAAATATTTGTGCTTAAAATTATTTTTATGTCACATACATTCAAATATCTAAACCCTGAAACTTACTAGCAAACAAAATGCAAGGTTTATTCTTGAGTAATAAGGCTAGAATTGAAGGAAAGAAGGATAAACTATTAAATTCTTATCATGGCACAAAGGTCTTTGAATATCCAATGTTAAACTCTTCTACATTTAATAGGAATTTTGCTATGAATCTTCAGTCCCTAGGGTACATTTCCTGTCTGTGCCTGTCAGCTTCATTGTTACGTATTTTAAATAAAGCTTTCCCTAACATTCAAAACTCCTTCCGGCCCTTCCTTTTAGGAAGCAGACATAAATAAAGTGCACAGTATGCCTTTGCGTTTTTGTTTTCTTTTACCTTTTCCTAACCATGTGCCCACCCCACCCCCAATCTTCTGAAGTGTAAAACTAAGGTAAAAAGGGCTTTTAAAAAAGGGCTCTGGGGATGTATGCAAATGACAGAAATGTCTATGGGAAAATTAGGGGAAAAGAAATTCAGCAAGAAAGAAATTCATTGATGTTGTGATGAAACGTTGTCACTGGAGATGATGACAAATTAGAATCCGTTCCCATGGGGACCGCGCGCTACCTACTGATCATTTGACCCATGGCTGGATGTTGGCTAGCCTGAGAATTGACCCAAAAGATGACAAGATGGTTTTAGTCCTGTTGTCTCATCAGCATTCAGGAACCCCTTAGGGGGGTGAAGGGGAAAGGATAAAGAAGGATAAAAGATGAAAGCTGAGCTGTGGAAAGAAAAATGTTTTTAATTACACTGAGGAGGATTGTGGGTCCACCTGTAGCTTTCTTTTGAGAATGTCTTTGTTTTCTTCTGTCTGCAGGGATCATGGCAGGATACAGACCCAGAATCTGTCTGGTCTCTTGGAAGGTTCTACATTGGTCAGTCGGTCCTCTTCAGTTTATTGGATACATTCAGGATTAACCTCTCTGTGGGCTATCTTTACTCTGAGATTCTGTTATGCTTGCCAAGCAACCTGGGTTTAGTTGGCGTGCTAAAAGAGATTGCTTTTAGAGGGAGGAAAAAAAGATCGCAATAGTGGAGCATGAGATGAGGTTTCTATAGTGTGTCACTATCACATTCCTCGTCAGAAGGACACAGGGAGCTCATGTCAGGCAGTGAGGTGGAGGGAGGCAAGAGCACCCCCTGGTAGTCAAGAGACTTTTAAGCTCCAGATGCCTTGTTTCTTCACTTGTAAACTGGGAATCACAATGTTCTTTTACTATCCTATGATGGTAGATAAGTAAGGTGAAATTCTTTAGGAAAATACTGAATTCTGAAGAAAAGGAACAATACAACCACTCTGTTCTCTTTCCAGGTTACTAACAAAGCAACTAAACCCCCTTGGATAATTTGAACAATTTAAAATAGTTGAATGTAATTTATTCCACAGTACTCAGGTAATATTAGGTAGGCATCGGTTTGGTGGGGTTTTTTTGATAGGGGGGATTCTTCATAATAAATTTGGTCATATCCTTCCCACCCCGTTTCTCGGGAGGTAGGGACAGGGTATCACAGGGTGGAGTGCAGTGGCACAATCATGGCTCACTGCAGCCTCAACCTCCCAGGCTCAGATGATCCTCTCACCTCAGCCCCCTGGATAGCTGGAACTACAGGGGCACACCAATATTCCTGGCTAATTTTTTGTATTTTTTTTTTTTAAGAGAAAGTGTCCCACTGTGTTACCCAGGCTGGTCTCGAACACCTGGGCTTAAGTGATCCCCTGCCTCAGCCTCCCAAAGTGTTGGGATTACAGGTGTGAGCCACTGTGCCTGGCCCTTTTTTATATTGGTGGTAAAATTTAACAATTCACAACTTCTTCCAAGTACTTGATTTTCATAGGAATTTTGAAGAATATTATTAGAAATCATATTAATTTTTAAAAATCTAATTTTTATTATAAAGTAATGAGACTATGCATAGCTTATGATACCCTGCCAAGCATTTCACAGCATTTGTTAAAATTGATTTGAAAAGAAATGTGGGGAGAGGGTTGATCTTTATATTGCAAAGAGAAGCAATGTTGCATAAAGGCTGAAGGCTTGGGCTCTGAAGTCAGAATATGGGTTTGAATTCCAGCCATGACACTTGCTAGCTTTGTAACCTTGAGCAAATTACTTATTCCTTAGTGTCTACTTCTGGAAAATGGAAGTGTGCACCTAATAGGATCCTTCAAAGGACTAAGTTGATGTATGCCTGTGAGATGTATAAAATTGTGACTTGTACGTAGTTGGCACTCAGCGGATGTTGGCATTTTTACTTTTCTTAGTAAGGCAAGATAGGGTGTCACTACATGAAAGATAGGGGAATTTTTGACTGGCAGTTGTGAATCCAGGTAGACAGAGCATGCATTTGACACTTTATGTTAAGTACCATAGGTATCTGGATTTTGAATTCTTGGTGCTTATTGTCTCTACTGATGAAGAATGCAGCTAAAGGGCCACCCTAACCAGGAAGGCAAAGGTAGACACTCTACCCCAATCCCCAATAAAACACACCTCTACCAGGGCCCCTCTCCCATCAGCCAGTCACCCTGCAACCACAAGGAGAATTCAGTTCCACAGCCAGCCCAGAGCTGAGGACCTTTTAACACTCTGCTTTTTGCCTTGTCTGATTACGTTAACAGGAATTCTCAGCCTGTGTGATTTGTCGTATTTTAATATTTCAAGCCACCATTGCAGCTTCTTTTAGGTTTGGTTTGTCTGAGGCACCACAGCCAGTGAGTGAGCACACGGATTTTGAATTTGTGTAAGTGAATGGCTCTTTCCCTTATTTTGTGGCTTTGGGCTCGTCGCTTAACTCATTGATATAAATAAGACCCACACTGTAAGGTCCTGGTAGCTGTTAAAATTTTCTGAAGAACCCTGAAATCTCTGGCAACAAGTTTAAAACCTACAGGATACAATCTTGATAATTTAGATGCAGTGCCTACATTTAGGAGCTTTGTTTCACTTAGCTTCAATATGCATATCCTAGGATGGAATTCAGCCGATCCTGCGTTTTCCAGTTTCCTGTTGCAGACAACACCCCAAACCACCCAACACTTTGTGGCATAAACAAACATGCTTACAAATTCTGTGGGTCAGGGTTTTGACCAGGCACAGTAAAGATGGCTTATTTCTGCTTCATGATGTCCATGGCTTCATCAAGGGACTACTGTGGGGGGCTGAAATTATCTGGAAGTTTTTTGGTTCATGCCACAAACTTGGGCTGGGATGACATGAAAGACATGCTAAGCTAAGGAGCTGCCAACTAAGCACTGACTGTGTCCTCTCCATGTGTCTTGGACTTCTTACAGCTTCATAGCTAACAGCTACCAAGAGTAAGCATTCCAAGAGAGAGGGATGTCCTTTTATGACTAGCTTTAGAAGTCACATAGTATCACTTTCTCTGTACTCCACTAGTAGAAGCAAGCTATCATAAGTCTACCCAGATTTAAGCAGTGGTGTTGGGGGGAAATATAGACCCCAGCTGCCAAAGGGAAAGACCTATTAAAGAATTTGCAGCAAATTTTCATAAAACTACCACACTGGGATTATGGCACCACACTGGGATTATCGTTTCATCTGGGGATAAATTAGGGCCCCTGACTTCTACCTATAGCAAAGCAGCCGGCCAGGCGCGGTGGCTCACGCCTGTAATCCCAGCACTTTAGGAGGCCGAGGCGGATGGATCACGAGGTCAAGAGATCAAGACCATCCTGGTCAACATGGTGAAACCCCGTCTCTACTAAAATTACAAAACATTAGCTGGGCATGGTGGCACGTGCCTGTAATCCCAACTTCTCAGGAGGCTGAGGCAGGAGAATTGCCTGAACCCAGGAGGCGGAGGTTGTGGTGAGCCGAGATCACGCCATTGCACTCCAGTCTGGGTAACAAGAGCGAAACTCCGTCTCAAAAAAAAAAAAAAAGCAGCCATACAGACTCTTCCAGCTACTCAATCTGCCATTGTTAAATGAAAGCAGTCACAAACAATATGTAAACAAATGACTGTGTTCCAATAAATAGTAACAGTAAAATTGGAATTTCATATAATTATTAAATATTAAAAATTTTCTTCTTAAAAAAATTTAGAAGTGTAAGAATCATTCTTAGCGCATGGCCTATATAGAAACGGGCAGTGGACCAGATTATAATATCTGAAGTTAGCTAAATCTGACTCTTTAAAGTTAGAATCCACCAAATTTGTAGAAGAAACCCTTGGGCATTTCTCAAGTGGAGTTAAATACTAAGAGTGTGTATGAGAGAGAAGGATATATGATCACAAATTTTGTTTTTATTTTAAAGTGAATTTGTGAAGATATTTCAAAATTTAGTTATTTTAATTATATCGTCATTACGTTACACAAAATTTATTTCCAAGGGCAATAAAGGACTATATACTCTTAATACTCCTAAGTGGGAAATTAATGATATTTACTTTATCAGAAGTCACGACCTACAAAGAAAAGCTATAACTTGTTTCCTGATGGAACTTCCAGAAATACATATGGTTGTATATTTTTAAAATAAATATGTTTTAAGAGTTTGTTATTAGAACAGAAGATAGGGTTGATGACTCTCAGGAGTGAATGTTAAAAATCTTCATCACTTCATTAAATATTTTTTCTGTGCCTGCAATGCCAGGCAGTGTGCTGGACCCTGAAGATACTATGGTGAACAAAAACATATATCGTATGTCATCTTTTAACATCTGCCTGTCTTACGAGACTTTATGTCCTTACAGTGCATGTAGTCTCATGAAATAGCCAAATGTTAAAAAAGATCACAGCATTAAATGTAATGTGTGTTATGAGAGGGTTATGCAGGGCATTATGAGAATATATATTAAGTTTTCAAGCTGGGCCTGTTGCTCTCACATCCTCTACTGCCCATTGAATGTGAAAGTCTAGGAAAAGAAGATTGTTAGATTACTTGCAAGCTGCTGTTTAAAAACCACGTTAACACTTCTGATAATGAGTGAATAGTCCTCTCTTCATATTTGGGCCACATGTGATGTCCTGTTTTATATTACTTTGGGGAAGGAAAACCAAAAAATGAAAAAATTTGCAATTGTTGAAATGTACTAGATTTTTTCTTCCTGTTAAGGTATCATTTTGGATGGGTGGAGAATTCAAATAGAAGAACAGTTTGGAATCTATTGCCTGAATTGAAAATTGGGATAATTAACTGATTTTTCTCTAATCAAAGTTTTGCTGCATGACAAAATCATTTGTACACCAAACCCTAGTAACACACAATTTATCCATATAAAAAATGTGCTTATATACCCCCGAACCTAAAATAAAAGTTGAAAAGAAAAAATAAATTGGTCAGAATTCATACCCAAGAATAGCCCTTAAATAAAACGTCTGGTTAATATTTGACTGCAATCAGAGGATACTACTAAAGATTTTTAGAGGCCCTGAAAGGGTTATATTAATATCCTTAATAAAATGTGAATTTTTTGTTTAAAAAATTATTTTCTAGCACTTGTTAAAAAAGCAGTCAGTCGAGATTTTGAGGTTTCTCATCTGGGCCATTGGTGACATTTGAGCCAAATAAGTCTTGGTTTTGGGATGCTGTCCTGTGCATTGTAGGATGTTTAGGAGAATCCCTGGCCTCTACCTACCTACTTTGTAGCATTCTACACCAAGTTGTAACAATCAAAATTTTCTCCAAATGTCCCCTGAGAGGGGCAAAGCCACCAGTCGTCAAAATTAATCTGGGTTTATATGTTTTAATGCAATGACCTCAATGAGGAAAACCTACTTTATTTCAATAGTAGGAAGTCTAGGTCAGGGAGCATTGTGAGTTGTCTTATAAATTTTCAAGACACACAACTCCTCCTTTGAAAATAATAAAATGAACTTGGACAACCCATTATCCAATTAAACATTATACTCATATCCCTTTGTTATGTCTGGAAGTTTTTCTAAACTTTATAGTTTATGTAATTTCTAGCAAGGCCGAGACCCTCAGTTATTTAATTGAGCTATAGAATATCCCTGGAACAAAATCAACATTTAAAATTGGCTTGAATATAACAAATGAAGATACTTTGATTTGACTCCATGCTCTCAGCCTGGAAGCTATTGGATTGTGTGAGACACATGACCCAGAGGAGATGATTAGTTTTCCTCCAGTGAGTTGATAATGAATAGCACTACAAAACCAATTAGCTATAATTCGATCAGTCATTTCATTTGGGTAACATTTTGTTTTAAGGGGAGGAAAAAAACAACACGGTTTTCCTTGGAGATCTGTGATGAAGCCGTGGTATTTGATGGGAACAATGGAGGAAAAAGCAGTATGCTCACCAATTTGCTTCTGTTATTCCCACATGAAAGTAAATCATGATGAAGTGTTCTGTTTACAGCAGTTAAAAAAGACGTTTGTCCATCTTAAACATGTAACAAACCAAACACAAGTATATTTCTAACTGTACATTTCATTTTATATGTATTGTACAACTCCAGGGAATTGCCATTCACATGGAAGACTGAGAATGGCGTCCCCTGGGGCTGTATAGCAGGAGGTACTGAATGTTTTTTCCTTTCTTTCT